AGAAAGTGTATGCATGTTTTGCTATGCTTTTGTTTAATGAATAATATGACAAGAAGATAGAGTTCAAAACATCACTTTGATTATGGTATATAAGATGTCTTATAGAGAGTTGCCACCATGTGGAAAACAAGGGCCACCAAAAGAATTCAGACTGGAGTCCAGAGGATTAAAGCTGAGTGGTCAGGATGGAAATGAAAAAGATAAGGAATTGAGAGATATTTAGAAAAAAAAATAAAAACTCCACAGTGACTGGCTGGAGGGATGGGGCAGGCCAAACATTAGTTCTAAGCCTACAGAACTGGAAAAATGAACATATAATGAAATCAAATTGTAGAATCTCCAGGGATAGCCAGAGTTACCCAGTTTGGGGAAAATAATGAAGGACTTAGTAGAAAAAGAGATAAAATTGAAAGGATTGGGGTGCTACCCTAAATAAAATATCCAATAGCCAGTTACAAGTGTAAGACCATAATTTGTGATGATTGTGGGACTCTAAGAACCAAGACTCTTTGTGATTTTTCTGTGAATTCCCCAGGAGTTAGCACAGGGCCAGGCATGGAGTTCATGCTCAGTAAAGCTGGCTATTTAGAGGCTAACTTCACAAAGAAAAGAATCAAGTTATGAGGGTGGACAAATGTGACCTTCGAGGGGAGGGTAGAAAGAAAGGAAGGCAGAAGACCAAAGCTTAAGGAATAAATATACTGAAAAAACTAGAGGTAAATAGAACTGGATAAAAGAGACAGGGAAGGTCAGTCAGAGAAATAAACAAAAAAGAACCTGGGCAGGGGGAGAGAAGCAAAGGAAAAAAGAGAAGAGGAGAGGGGAAGAGAAGGGAGGGGAGGGGAACAGAGGAAAGGGAGGGGAGGAGAGGAGAAAGGAATAAGAAAGGCAAAAAGAAAAGCACAAATAAGACTAGAATCAGAGAAATCAAGGAAGAAGAGATGCTATTTATTTATAATTCTAATGTCTATGTCTATAAGAGCTTAAATAGAGAATATAATGATGCAAAAATTACCAAGTCACATTTAGTGAGCAAAAATGAAAAACATGAAAATGTTTCCTTAATAACTTAAAGTAAATAAATTGATAGTTCCTGTCACACTGATTCATCTATTGCATGTGGGTACTAAATAAATGGTAATTGAATTAAATTAATGACATTTGCTCAATGGTAATAAAAAATTAATTAACTCTATCTTTCTGTTACTTAGTTTATGCCCACTGGTTCTTGAAATTATTTCTAACCCAAACATGAATTTTCTATTTCACTGACTTTCAAGATAGACTTTAATTTTTTTTCTAAGAACTATAGATGAGCTCTTAATTTTTGTCCCAATTTTGATTTTTTTTTCTGTTGAAAGAAATAATTTTCTGAGTTAATGTCAAGAACTATGTATAACATTCCAAATATAGTTTCACGAGTTCCTTATTTAATTCTAAAATAGTTCTCTCTGCAAGAGATGTGATAGCACGTCTTATATGTTTCTCCTTTTAGCTTATGCTACTTTGTAATACTTCAGGTCCAATGTCAAGTAACACCATAAAGAAGGAATCTGGAGGGAATTATTGTTAGCATCCCATCTATAAAAAATGGGAGATGTCATTCACCCAAAAATTGTGACTCACATCAGATGTCAGAATTCTGGGTTGAACAGACTGGGTTCTGAAATGTGTGTATGTCAGATGACTTTTTAATGAGCAAACAGATAGTTTCCACTGAGGAATGAAAAAAATAAAAATATAAACAGAGATATAGAATTAAAATAACTTTATGAATGGCAGCTTAACTTCTCCTTGAAATCCTTTTGGTACCCAAATGGTTGCTTTAATGTAGCATCCACTTACATTCAAAGTGCTATACTTAAAGTCGCAAAATTAAAAAGAGAATCATAATACCACTTGGCTGTATATCGTATTCTCTGCATGTTCTTACATTCCAGTAACCTCTATCCAACTTTTTTTTTGTTACTGAATTACTTTGTGCAAAAGCAATTTAAATTACATGCAGCCTGACTACGTGTGATAATTTGAACTGATTGTTAATTAATTCTGTTAAGTAAATAGCTGCTGTAATCTCTATACTCATCAAGGTTTCGCTAGCGATCAGCTTTTTCTGAGCTTCTGTCTAATGTACGTTACAAAGCAGCTGGAACTGAGTGGGTAGGAATCCCCGAGTTTGCAAGAAGCTGGTTTTACTTTGCAAATACCGCATAGGAAAAGGTGGGTCTGTCAAGCTAAATTATTTACAAGGCTGGATTTGGGATACTGAGGCATCTCAAGATTTGGGCTATAGAGGGTTTTGCTGATATGTAGTCTTAGTAATTAGGAAGCCAAATAAAAGTTAAGCATAAATCAGAGATAGGTTGTATGGTCTAAGAGAGAACAAGATAAGAGCAAAGCTTTTACAGTCCACTAGTGCTGGGTTTGAATCCCATTTCTAACACTAACTAATGACGAGTCCTTACTAAGTAAATGCTCTAAGTCATCATTATTCTCAGTCATCTGCTAACTGGAGGTGACAATTTCTAATTTTCCCATCTGTTCAAGGAGGCTAACAATATCTACTTCCTAGAGTCTTCAAGATTCTTAAATTCAGTAAGGTATATATTAGTAATTTGGAACTTGACATGAAATACATGCAACTGTGTGTATGTGTGTGTGTGTGTGTGTGTGTGTGTATGAAATTTTTGATTATCACAACGTACAAGAACATATGCTACTGGCATCTAGTAGGTAGAGGTATAGAGGACAGGGATATAGCTAAACATCCTACAGCCTTTCCCTGGTCAAAAATATCAATGTTGCTCTAAGAGGTCTGAGGCATTATTTGAATATCTATCTGTTTGTGATATTGGCTGATTACTGGGTGCTTTAATCTCCAAGTAAGGAAAAGAAACTACTATTTTCATTATCAACATTATTGTTATATTATTAATTTGGAAGAAACCCTCTTGGGTTAGTGGAAGTTAGAGTTTCCCAACCTGTAGACCAATTCTATTTCAATAGTCAGTATTCAATACTGTATTAATCCTGAACCCCCACTTCTGCCGATCCTTTTTAGAGTGGACAAAACTGGAACCAAGAGTTTTAAAGCCATCAGCATATGCAGAAAGGAATAAAATTAAGCATTGTGGTAAACTAACGCTGTTTATGAAATCAAAAAGAAACAAAAATAGGCAGCAGACCGTTTGGTCACTTTTTATGTTTAGGGCTTACGATGTCCCCGAGAGTCAAACTGGCCAGTTTGAGCCCTCAGAGAGCAACAGTCTCATGACTGGTTTCTGAGAATAACTGATTTACAGTCTATTGGTATTCTCTCTTTCCTTCACTCTCAAAACTAGAAAGTTCCTAGGGTTCCCAAACTTGTGTGGTTATTGGATTTACCTGGGGAGTTTCAAAATTTCCCAGGTATTATGGTCTGTTAGAGGGAAGAGAACACCTGAAGATTTTTAAGATTCCAGAATTTTAAAAGATGATTCTACTCTGCAGAACAGTCTAGGGACCAGGCAGAAGCAAACAGAGCTTTCCATTTGCTCACATCAAGAGCCAACTTTGGAATGGTCAAAGACGATGGAGGTGGCAGAAACATATTTCTTGCACTAAGCTACATAGGCATAGTAAAATCAAGGCAGGTTACCTGTCCCATTATTCATTTCAGCCATTCATGAGCATTACTGAGTCAGCCAGGTGCTGGCTAGCTATGGAAATATGACTGCCCAGAACACACCTTTACCCTCTCCAATCACTCGAGTGCCACCAAGTCACTCTTTATGTTTAGGGCTTAAGATGTCCCTGAGAATCAAACTGGCTGCATGTTTGAGAATAGCCTTCTTCTGTTTTCTCTTTTCCCCACCTTAGGACTTTGCTTAATGAATCATCAGTCTTATCCTCTAATATCACGTCATGAGATGCATCTCTGTTATATAATGCTGTATATTGTGTATACAATATATAATATAAATTGCATACAACATATATATATTATATATTGTAACCAAATAAGCTTCTTCTTGTGTGATGCTTATAAAGGCCAAGGACCATACCTTTTTAGTCACCAGTGTACCTCAATATTCATCACTGTGCCTGTCAAATGACAGGCCCTCAACTATTATATGGAATGAAAGAATACAGAAGCCCTGAAATACATGAAGCACGTGGGCCTCCTCAGCTTTCTCTATGCCTCTTCAAATCAAAATCTTGGCCGGGGACTTGGCCAGAAGAAGATCTTCCACAATTGTGCCTGTAGGTTACATGGAAAAAAGCATGCCTCCAAGAGGCACACCTCCAAGGCCAGACAGGCCATCACCTGGCTGGAGACCCTAAAAATATGAAGGCAGACAAAAGGGTACTAACTGAACATCTCTGAGGGCAGAAATAGGAATACACTTATGGATATTTGTCTATATTCATTTTTCTCACAAAGGAGGAAACTGAGATTTCTAGAAAGGAAAAATTATAAAGTGACTTCCTTGGGATCATGTTAACTACCCAGCAGAACAGTACCATCATTCAGCCTGGTCCTCTCTCTAATATGATGTCATGAGCTGATTCTCTGTTCACACAGTTGTACATACTGTAATATAATCAACTTTTTCGATGCCTTGTGTGATGCCCAGTATTTAAGATCCTTCCCCTGACTCTTCTGATCCATAACCTTGACAGTACATAGGTAACACACTATGAGACTTTGCTGATCTAAGTGAAGGAATTTCTTGAGTCTCCTCATTCATCACAACAAAAACTATAGTAGAAATTTGTACTACAAGTTAATATGATAGGTGATAATGTGATAAGTGAAAAACATAATATATAACAAATGTTACAATTGCACTCTTCTAGTCTTAATTTTTAGAGTATCCTACTCAATGCTTCATTCCTTTTAATAAGAATTTATGCTTAACAAAGTCTAGAATGTGACTGTTTCTGCAAATGTTTACTCTGAGACCACTAGGGAAACGATAGTGGATTTTTGCATGTATGTTTTCTTTTTTTTCATCTAGATAAGCAACTCACAAATGAAAAGCATGCAGACGAGAAACCTATTAATGCTGTCGTTATAAATTCAGTAGCTGAATTCAGTATCACAGATGGACCAGCAAAAGAATCCCCCAATGAGAAAAACCTGTCAGAATCCTGCACGTCACTGTCCTCCCTTGAAGAATGCCAAACAAGGTTTTCCTACCTTCATACTGATACTTCAGTTCATCAGAGAGACACTGATGGTATGTTTCTCAGAATTCAACCCATCTCTAAATAAAGCTCTCAAACTCAACCCCTGTAAAAGCACCACATATGCTCATGGGGGAAAAAAACGTCTTTATGAATATTAAAAAGGCTGACTTGGATTTGGAAACCCTGCTGAATGACACATGTCAAGGTCACTTTGCAGTTACGAGGTGCTTGGCAGATCGTTTGCTCTCAAAGCTGGGAATCTGAAGCAACATGTTCTAAAGAGCTAGGGTGACGCATAATCATTCTTGTTTGGGGTTGTGAAGCAAATAGATAAATTGCAACCGAATGCCATCCCTATAATCCTAGCTACTTGGAAGACGGAGATAGTGGCTCTAGGTCTGTTGAGGCAAAAAATTCAATAGCCCCCATTTCAATCAATGGCTGGCCACAGTGGTGTGAGCCTGCCATCCCAGCTACATGGGAGGCTGAGATCAGGAGGATTGAGGTTCCAAGCCAGCCCATGTGCGAGAGGTGTAAGGTGGTAGGGGAAGGGGGAGAAGGAGAATTGTGAGACACCCCCATCTCAGGGTGGGGGAGGAATTTCTGGGAGTGGTAGTGCACACCTTCTATAGCTAAAGCAGGAAGTGAAAAAGAAGGTCATGGTCCAGGCTGGCCTGGCCTGAAAGCAAGACCCTATCTCCAAAACAACCAGTGCAAAAAGGGCTGGCGGGGTCACAGTGGTAGAGAGCCTGCCTAATAAGTGTGAAACCCTGAGTTTTAACCCCATGCCATCAAAAAATGATGATAATAATAAAATAGATAAATGGCAAACTCACTCTTCTCAGATGTGAGACTACTCAGCCTGTGGCTTTAGGCAGAGTAGAACAGCAATTGCATGCTGGAAATACAGGAATACAAACTGTACAAAATACCAAGATGCTTAATTAGCATCTGAGAAAGGGTTGGTTCTTCTAGGTAATACCACTTTCTAGGCATTCCTAGAGTAACCCTATACCAAGCCATCCCACATGTGGCATAAAGAGCACATTCCATTTTCAAAGCCAATTTCAGATTGATTTGGTGCTAAATGCACAACCAGGTTCAAAATCATGGACTCTACATCATACATAGGAACTTTAACTCAGGTTAACTTTGCAATGACATTTACAGAAAACATAAGCCACTCACGAGCTTTGTAGTATCCAGACAATGTAGTATGTTATTGTTGTTCATCTACACTTAAAATGATATTTGATGTTTGATAATGAGAAAAATATTTCAACTTTGTATAAAAGCACTGTTGGAATCACATCAGTTTAACTCTTACCTCTAAAGTTTATTCACTGCATAAAAGTGAATGCATTTTGCGTTTTTTTTTAGCCATCTCTCAACCTCAGTTTCTTAGTTATATTACAGGACTTGTAACATACGCTGGGGCACGTTGAGGAGCGAATGAAATAACATGTATAAAACACTTAGCACAAAGTCTGGCACATGGAAAACTCAATTTTAGCTTTTATTATGCTTACAGTTTTAGACTGGAAGGACAGAGAAGACATCTAACCCATGGATAAATGTGGTGTCATGTGCAAATGTTGACATGAATGCGTTGGACTGCAGACTTGATTGTGTGCAGTTGCTGGGAGAGAATGTGAATAATGAAGTAAGCTGGAAGTAGACATGGGACTGATGAGCACTGTGGTGAACTGAAGAGCACATGCCTCATCTGAAGATCACAGCTTCTACCCAACTCCAGCTGGTTGTTGTCACAGGAAAGAATAGGCTCAGAGTTGCCAGATCTTGAAGTTCTCCAAGAATATCCAGAGATTAGGATTGTTATGCGAAATCTCTAAATTTTCCAGTGTTGGTAACTAGTTCTACTTATTTTATGGAGCCCAAGACACTCCCAACATTTCTTTGGGCCAAATTGAACCACAGACTAGAGCCTCAATCAAGGATGATGAACAAATTTCTAGCTTTAGAAGAGATGAATCCTAGTCAAGAAAACAGGTGATGTAGATGAATTCTCTGCAGAAGCATTTCATGAATTGGGGTGGGAATGTATTGGTGTTGTTAATCATGTATGTGAGACAATGATCCCAGAATTAAGAATTGCCATAGTTCATATCCACAGAGGCAAACACTACGTCCCTGCATAGACACTTCATCTATCCTATCAGGAATACTGGGGGAAGAAGAGCTAAGCTGACAGCATGACATCAAAACCTTTATGTTCTCTGGGAAGGGCCCAAATGACTACTGTATTAAAATTGCAACTTATTCTCAAGAGTCTCATGCAGGAAAAAAAGAAAGAGATAACTCTTTGTTCAAAAGAGAAAAGTCATGAGGAGGTACAAATTAGGCTGATCTTGAAAGGAGTGGACAGAAGCTAGTATGACCTAGGAAACTTAGGTTTTTAAGCTGACAACATAGGTAACATCCTCTCTACCTTGGTTCCCTTGTGAAAAATCTCTCTAAAGCGGTAAGAGCTTTTGTTACCTGGATAAAAGAGGAAGCAAAAAACCCAGATTATGTCACATAATAGTGCTAAGAAACATTCATTATCCTAAACAACAAACATCAAGAAAATCAAGAGTTAAGTCAAACTCACTTTATTTTAGAGAATTTTTGATAGTGATTAATTTAAGGATGCAGAAATTGAGCACTGGGGTCATTGTTTGTACTGAGATAAATACAGAAATATCTTTCAGGAACAGCAGGGAAAACAGAAGGGAAAAGAGAAGATTGGATTCTCTTTCATGTCGTTCGTGTTTAATTTATTTTCAAATGTATAAATGAGTGCATAGGAATGGATGCTTAATTGCTAATATCTATTATTTATATACATTGCCCCACTTAAAACAGGGTGGAAAAGGCTCACACATGCAGATTTTGTGAAATGTGTGTCATCCATTAGCACAGTTCATGGCGTGTGCTCTGATAGGAATTTAAAAGGATCTTTACTGCACATCACATGCTATGTGCTGGAACATTACTTTGTTACTAAATTGTGGTTCATTGTGTGTGGCCCCTTTTCCAAATAAAAATAGATCACATCTTAAGAACTATCTGAGCACCTGCCTCTGTTTCTACATTCTTCTGATTGCAGAAGATAAGAAAAGCAGGGATATGCATGATATCAGAAAACAAGAACCTAAAAAAATGATTGTGAGAATATGGCTAATTAATGTATAATTTTGAATTTGAGACATGTCATCCAGGTGGAAGAGGAAAATCATAAATACAGGATACCTCAAAAGAATAGTCTTAATTACACCATGGACTACTGAATAAAATGATTACATTTTCTACCTTGTAAATTTCATACAATTAAATGCAGTGGTGTCACCTTATAAAATGTTTCAATTTTAAAATTATTTCAGTTCATTTGCTCAGAAAAAAACATAAGCACAAATTTACCAAGTATCACCCAAATCTAGTCATTCGAGTTCTAAAGAACTGACTTGGATGTTAGTTGTGCTTGTCTGAGCTTCAATAGATCTTGACATATTTAAGTAGCTATTAAAATTGATAACATCAGGGATGATAGCCCCGCTAGAGAAAGGCATTCAGTCACACTTTATTTATTCCCATTCTACATTACAGATGTATTTTTCAAAATACTTAATATTGGGGGAAGGGATTCCAATTTTTATACTCTGCAACCAAAAACTTTTAGCAATCCAATGGAGCCATTGTGTCACACATCTTATGATGATACTGAATTCTCTGTGTCAGGCATGGTGAAGACCAGTATGGGCCAGGTTCATCTGACCTCGTTGTTTAAATCTTACTTTGTTTGAGGAGACAAAGAGTGACTGTAGTTATTTAACTGGGATCAGTTGTACAAGAACCAAAGTCTTGCTACTTTGCATTAGGACATATGGTGTACCAGGGGATATTTCTGAAGTTGAAAAATGTTTCAGGCACTACCTATGGCACCTCCTCCTAATCATGGGTATCATGTAGCAAGACAAAAAGCTGAGAGGTCAAAGCCAAGGAAAATAGAGCCACGACCGTGAGGATGACCTCAGATCCATTTGTGAATCTTCCTTGCATTGTTATCTTTGCCGTTATAATTAAACATGATCATTTCTAATAAGACAGGTTCTTCCTCTTAATTAACTAGTCCCCAGCAGTACATTTAGCACCCTGGAAGCTGCATTAATTCCATGTCATTAGGGTATCATCACTTAGCACATTATAGCATTGGTGTTCATAAGGTACCCTAGGGGTATAAAAAGGAAATGAAATAACCGTAAGGAGAGTTCAGTCATAACTTCTTCCTCACAACCAAATATCACTCTGGCTGGAGGACCTACAGGCTTCTGATCCATCTTACACCACCTTTATTCCAGGTTTAAGATGTGGGAAAGCCAGATGGGCACTATGACAACAGAGATTAGAGCTGATGTCAGGATGTCATGTAGTTCAATAGAGAGATTTCCTATTCAAGGAACTTGTTATAAAGGTATAGAAAGGGCTGAAAAGTCAAATACAGTGAACAGTAAGGTAACCTGGTAATAAGTGACCAGAGGAAGGCTCTACCCATCTTCCTGTGTTCCTCGTGGCCACTAGTAGACTGCTAACACTGGCTTAGCTTATAGACCACTAGTAACTAACCCTTTGTACAAAGACCATAGCTAATGACATTAGGCAGAGACACAGGAAGAAAGGTTGTCCAGAGAGAGACAAATCTAGTAGAAAACACAGCTACTGCCCAAGACAACACCCACAGCAGAGAGAGGGCAGGAGAAAGACTTTGCATTTCCTTTCCTCTCAGCCTCTTAGCTCCTGTTGCTGCCTTCTATTGGCAGAACCCTGCCAAAAGCCATGAAGGGAACCTGGACAATGGATTTTTCCAGCCTTGGGAACACAGAGCATAGCAGGGTCAGAGCAGGACTGAAGAGGGAAGGAGGCCGTCAGTAAGCTGGCAGTGTCCTGTACCATGTTCAAAACTGGCAGAAAGAGAAGGTAAGCATGTTACAAAGGGAAGCCAGCTGAGGTCAAAGCTCTGAATATGACAGTTTGGGTTCACATAATAGCTCCACTATTGCTGTGTTTCCCGGGACACGCCTCTTAAACTCTGAGTACCAGTTGCCTCGTCTATAAGTGAGAATAATAGAACTTGGCTCAGGGTCATTTTGAGGCTTGTGTGAGACTCACATAAAGCACAGATGACTGTAGATTGACTTTAGGTGAAATGGGGACATATACAACAGTGGGAGATAAAGTGTAGACTTCAGATGCAGAAAGAATCAGAGGTGAGTCCCTGCTCCACCACCTTACAGCTAGGAGGACATAGGACAGTCAGTGACAATCTCTCAACCTTAGTCCTTTCATCTATGAAAATGGGGATCGCTTGGAATCAGTCACTGATTTGTTCATTCAGTAAGAGTTATGGTTTCACAACCTCTTGTAGCTTAGATTCTAGCTGGAGGAGAAACTGACTAGGTTAATGTCATCCTTTGGTCAGTGCTATGAATTAAAAATAAAGCAGGGTTCTGTGACAGTTTCAGCAATGTCGTGATTTAGAGGGAAGTAGTTTTAAGCTAAAGACCTAAAGGTTTTAAAAAGACTTTAAGTAAAGCTGGGAGATGCTCTGCTATATAAGCAGAAGACACAGGGTATGCAATGGAGCCCAGACATGCAGGAGGCTTGTTGGCTGTGGCAAGGATTTGGAACTTAAGAGAGAATGAGTTGTTTTAACTTAGGAATAAAGATAGCGCAGGAGCTGATGAGTTTGAAGTGAGCTCAGGTGGTAGGACGGCATGTTCAAGAGAAGGCTATTGCTGGGGCCCTGATGATGGTTGATGGGGTCAGAAGCAAGATGGCAGCTCTGAAGAGGGAGGCTTACAGTAGAATTAGCAGGACTCAGAGATGAACTGAATGGGAATGCTATGATGAGGAAAAGGAAAATGACAAAGAATGACTCTCACGTTTTTAGTGAATTCATCTGAGTATTGAAGAGCCATTGGAAAGAAAACTGTATGAGAGACAGGTATGTGGGACAAGGGAGAGAGGGAGGCCCCTAATGTAACCCTTAGCCTTAGTAAGTGAGATGTTTTGAAGACACTGCAGGAGAGACGACTGGTGAAGTCTGCAATTGGATATATGCCCTACTCTTTTGGATAGGCCAAGAGAAAGAGTGCTACTCATGAGCTATGAGTCTGAATATCATGTTTATTAAATGTTTCAGCCCCAGGAAACAGCACAGACAAAGGAAAATATACTCATTCAGAAGAAGGGAAAGTCCACCACTCCTTTCAAACAGTTGCAAATTTTCCCTCTGAACTGCTTATATTACACTTGTGCAAACAAAAATTGGCCATATGCAAAACAGTTTTGCCTGCTGGTGTAGAATGATTTAATATGTCTTTTAGGAAAAGTGTGGAACACATTTGAAAGTTCAGAAAAATCTGTTTTCAATTCATTAATGTTACCGTGGATTTTTGGGGGCAAGAGGCTCTGTCTTTTATAAGCAAATAAAACAGACTGGCTAAGAAACAGAAAAAAAAAAAAACGAGCTCTCTTCTCAAGTGCAAAATAGGGAGGTGGAAGAAAATAAATGCCAATTTGACCAAAGAATTAGGCCAAAACTTTTTTCGTGTGAATACAATCTACAGTATACATCAGAGACAGAGCTCTCTCAAGTCTGCCAACTTGAGACTTTGACAACGGTAACTAAACCAAAAGGTTATACACCCTTGGGGAAATCATGGGCATTTCACAAACAGGTTCTTCACACTCTACAAAGAATCAGCAGCTCGCTACCCTTCTTACCTCCAAACCAAACTTTCAGCCTTGTATGTACAAAGGACAGGACCCAATGGGATCGTTTTTATATGATCATAAATCTGAGTAAGTCTTCTGAGCCCCCAGGCTGAGGGAACATGGAGCGTTTGCCTGGAATATTTTCTATGGAGAACTTCTTCTCTGCCTGGGCCTGCCATAGAGTAACAGTGTTGGCATTGGTAAAATTCGATGAGGTTGTGTGCCCCACGTCTTTGACCACCAACATGCCCTCTGCAGAAAAGCCTAGGCTAAATAGAGTCTGTGTACTATTACTCACTTACTCCTGAATTTTTGTGGGTGGTTTGTGGTGACTTATGAGATGTGAGTGAGTTCCATATGCTGGAAGCTGGCGTTAAGTGAATAAAAATACACTCAGTCTGGCAAAGAGATGAGTATGCACACCACAGAGGTATTTTGGAATATGCTGCCTAAACTATAAATACAGGTTAATGGCCACAGCACCTGCAACAATATATGGTAATTAAAGTCATTGTAAAAGCCATGGTGTGTGTGTGTGTTTGTGTGTGTGTGTGTGTGTGTTTAAACTACCATCTTCCTGGGAAGAAAGAAAGGGAAAGAGGAAAGAAGACTGCTATTTACCTCTACTCAGGATTTACTTCAGAACTTTCTTACAATAAATGAAAACAACTTTCTTTAGAATACTTGTTCCTTTTCAGAGCACATTTCCAAGTTTTCCCTTTTTAAAAAGATTACCAAGTGTATGCACAAAAAAGGGAAAAACTTTTCTGGAAAATATTGTTAAAAGTAAATGAGTGTGGATAGATGAATACTCACACTATAGCATAGGAAGCAGAGGAAAAGTCTTTTCTGTATTTGTTTTTTGGATGCGGGTAGCGGGAAGGATTTCCCTATGTAGCCCAGGGTAGGCTGGAATTCACTATGTAGCTCAGGCAGGCCTTGAACTCACAATCTTCCTGCCTCTGCCTCCAGAGTACTGGAGTAATGTCACTTCTGTATACCTGTATACTCTGAAGACTAAAAACCAAAAGTTTTGCACATTTTCTATTGGATAGATCCTTGTGAAAGTCAAACTTTAATCAATTGATAAACCCATCTGGAAGGGAATTTTTTTTCTAATTTATGCTAAAATGTTACTCTCAACTACCAAGAATATTCAGATTACTTATTTTAATTAATTAGATGACATATCATATAAACACTTACCTACGTTTTTATTACAAAACTCACACATTTTTGAGAGCTTTTAAACTTGAAAATAAGTTATACTATTAGCAAGAGAACTGCTATATCTTCTAACTAATTCCCTTTATAGAAACAAAAAATATAATAATCTATAACCCATCACAGCTGTTTGGCTAGAATTACCAATTACCTTCAAATGCCTTAGAGATACTGTCCAGATTTTTACAAGTCGGCATAGTAAATTTTTAAACCAATTTTCTTACAGAGGACTGATAAGATTTAAAACCTTTTAGGCATGTGATGACGTACTCAACTTAAACAACTTGAATATAAAATCACGGCTTTGCATAACTGGAGGAAAAGGGAGACAAGAATTAAAAATAAAGCACAACCCAAAAAGCTGTGATTATTTTAAAAAGCATTTATATTAAGTTTGGAAATCTGCTTTTTGCTTGCATTTGAATATGGGTGTGGTGGATTTATGGGAATTCATGTTGAACAAATCACAAAGCCTAGTGACGAGAAGCAGGATATTAGACATTTGCAGTCTCTCCTTGTGCCCACCTCTAATTGCTCCTGAAGCCCCTGCATTTGGGGGAGGCTCTGCTATCATTCAGAGACTTGTAAGGTTTCCAGATAGGTAGTTATTTGTGTGCCTTCCCAGCACCTCCAGAGGCAAAGTAAATAAAGGGGTTTTAAAAGTGACAGCACTTTAAATAACCAGATTAGGTAAAAATCAATCGGAATCGCTCAGGAAGTTGATAAAGCAATTACTTAAGTAGAGTCAGTAGAGGTGTGGGGGTGGGGCAGCTGTAGGAGAAGCTGGTGGTGTACATCATCCCTAATGCAGATGAATGAGTCGGCTATAAAGTTATCAAGCACACCTACACACCTGCCTGCCCTTCACTGACACCCCATAGGCATTACTATTAATCTTCTTTACTCTTTATTATAGTTTTGCTCACATCACAGTAATTTTTATTATTACCTTAATTGTACATATTTATGGGACAGGGCATGATAATCCAATCCATTGTATACAATGTGTAATGATTAGGTCAGGGTAGTTAGCAATTCCACCTTCTTAAACATTGCAAAATGCTTTTTATTGGGCACGGAGGGGAGGCTCAGGTCTATAATTGCACCTATTCAGGAGGTGGAGATGAGGAAGATTGTGAGTCAAAGCCAGCCCTGGCAAAAGTTCAGAAGACCCCATCTCAGTGAAAATAAACCTGGGTGTGGTGGGGGGTACCTTTCATCCCAGTTTTGCAGGAAGTGTAAATGGTAAGATCACAGTCCAGGCTGGCCCAGGCAAAATCACGAGAACCTACCTGAAAATAACTAAAGCAAAAAAGGACTAGGGTTATGGCTCAAGGGGTAGAGCCCTGCCTAGCAATCGCAAGGTCCAGTACTGCCAAAAAAGAGAAACGTTCATGATTCACCTGCAATAATGGCTCCTTCTTCTTTGAACAGAGGAGTGTGCCTCCCTTATCCTCACCTGTCTGTTTTGCCAGTTTTGGGACTGCCTCCTGATGCTCCCCGATACGTGTGAAACGGTGTGCACCAACCTGTGCTGCCCCTCTCACAGGTACTACCAAGCCTCGGATGAAAGCCACCCACTCAATGACTGCACCTGCAACTGTGACATGGACTGCAGCCTATTTGAGTCCTGCCATGAGACCAGCGAGTGCCTGGAGTTGGCCATGGAGATCTCAGAAATCTGTTACCGCTAACATGATAGAGGGACCGAGGTTTCCATGTGCACAAATGCGAGGACTATACACAATTCTTGGAAGCTCTAGGCCTTTTTTCCTTCTGCACCTGTCTGGGAAAGCTAGTATTGTCAACTCCATGGTCTTATTCCAAATTCCACAACCGCATGGCTTGCTGAAAAATACAATTCTTGATCACACGTGATGAATGAATCATAAATACTCTTAAATGCCATAGGTACAAGATGTTTCTTGCCTATAAAATAGTATGCTAAACCACTCTGTGTTCATGCACTTGGCAGCTCGCCTCATGAATTCAACCTCATTCACAAATTCAGGACAAATTAGTGCTTTCTTGTAGAATTGACATACATTAGCTCGTCTTTCTAATGGACTCATGCATAAACATTACGCATTGTTGGTTATTATTAATAATGTATTGTATAACATCATTTTGTAATTAAAAATTTATTTATACACTCTCTTAAAATTCACTTATACGTACAGTTTAGGTAGGAAAGGGAATTAAATGAATTAGAAACCATGTTCCTATAATTACAACAGATGTCTCTAAGCCCTCTCCAGTGAATTTTGAATCAAGTATACTTCAAGAGAGTACTATAATTCTAGACCATATTATTATATGTGTATGACTATGTCATTACAGATTATACATGTTCTTAATTTCTACAGACAGGTTCTTCTTTATTCTAGTAAGTGTATAAATGAGAAATAATGTACAAGTTTCAAGAAAATGATCTCTGATAATCAATTCTTCATTCTCCTCATTACTGTTCAACAGGTATAATAAGTAATGGGATATTAAAACAGAATTATTTCATTTTATTAAACTATAACTTGTGTAGGTACCCAAAATAAATGCATATGCAAATACTTACATAGTTCTGAGTTTCTTAACATAGCATGTACTTAGGAAACTATAGTTTTCTTTTTACTCATAATTAATAAATAATTATTAATTAATAAATAATTAATTGAACACTTCTCTATAGTTATAATATTTTTAAAGTTATGATGTAAGATGGAAAGTGACTTTTTTAACTTGACTAAATGAAAACAAGTGACTTGTGGGGGAAGTGGATGTAGGTTGAAGTTCATTTGGAGTTTTGACTTTCTATAGGCATGGTTCCATAGCCATGAAGGAAATACATTGCTTATTAATTTGTGTTTATATATTTCCATGGAGATATATCAATATATTCATTAAATTTTAAAAGCATAACATTATCAAATAACTTTTTAAAAACCCAGAAAAGTGAAAGTTGAGTTTTTGTGACCTAAGGAAACAACAATAGCAACAAACTCCAAAATACCTGGTTTTTTCCCCTGCCAAAAAGTGACATTTGTTTCTATTGTAAATTAGCACATTTTTCTAATCTTCGATAAATTCATCCAACATTGAAATGTCTTAATCTTAAAAAAATATTTTTTAAGCTGCCTCTGGAAGGTATTTGTCTACTCATGGCTTATTCCTGACAGCACGGTGCATCGTGGTTAATGTCAGCTTCCTTCCTGTTTGATTATTATGTTATTTACAAAGCACAGAGCATGAATGCCCTACTTCCGTCCTGAAACACTTCTTCCTCCCTGCCTTTCAGAAGATGAAAGACACATCTATGTACTCTATGCATAGAAATTGCACATCATTTAAAAAAAGGAATAACCAGAAGGGAACCTAGGGCTCTTCTTGTCTAACACCCTCATACGTCTTAGAAGGAAAAGGAGGCCCCAAGAACTGGTCAATCCAAGACCACACCGTGCGTTCATGGAAGTGCTGAGACTCAGACCCCAAGGTCTGATGTTCTGACTACACTGAATTCCTCCATAGATCTTTATTTCTTTATGCAGCTGGTACATAGCAGTTCAGCTGTTCCAACTATTCACAAACTAAAATACTACTTGACTGATTCATGAACAGGGGTAACCATGAATGTCCTTGGGCTTTCTCCACATCCCAGCCACTTTCACCCCCTTCAAGCATATTTTATCATGGTCTGGTCTCTACAGGAAGAACATCTGGCCCTGTGGGGGTCCCTGGAACCTTATCCCCACAACATGGTACCTGGCATCATTGATCATCATGTGCTATATTGGTATTAAATATTTTAATAATCATTCCCTCACTCTTTCAAATCTGGATACCCTCAAGTGATGTCAAGATGGTGCATTTCCAATGTTAATTTGATGTTTGTCAATTACAGAAATAAAAATCACCAAGTCTTATTTTATGATGTGTTCAGAATACTCTAAGATCTTTCTGTGGCCTTGCTTTCCACGGTTTGTTAACTTGTTCCTCACTTTCAGAAATCACTGTGCTATAACAAAAAGGGTCGGTTATACAAAGTGTGAAATTTCTTTTCTTTATAACCAATAATAAAACATCATCCTTTTTGCAAACATGAATAGCTGTTTCAATTGAATTCTTACACAATAAAACAAATGCAGCTGGGAAAATACAATTGCAAGGCTATGGCAGATCAAAAAATAATGTGGTTATTGATTAAATACAAATATCAGAATCTGAGAAGGCTAAGGTATTTTGTGCAATGATGAAGGCCTGTGATTACTAATAAAGATAATATTGCTCTTTTAGGTGGGGCTTCTTAGAGAATAGAAGATTCTGATTTAAGAAGGCATATTACAATAAAGAGATTTGAGGACACAGAACTCTTATTGAGAATGGAGAACAGATTTTCCTCCCCACAGCAATATAACTATATAGTTACATTGTCTTTGCTTTGCTCAATGGATTTTCATAAAACCATTGCTTCTCTAAAAGCCGACAAAATATGGAAAGCAATGAAGAAATGAAGTTACATTTAACTTGCTAATGAAATCTTCCCACTACATGAACTGATGGGCCTACAAATTAATTATCAATGCAGGACAATCAAAGTTAATAGAGTGAAAGCAATTCAGTTTTTTTTTCCAAGAGGATAAAAAAGCATATTCAGTCAGGAAAACTCAACAAATAGGAAACATCAAGTGAGAGCATTTCAACATATTTTTCAAAGATAAATGTGTAGGCAGAAAATGGTTGAAGGACAGATTTCATTACCCAAAACCAGTGAGCTTCTCTATCCACAAACTGGTAGAAAAGAATTGTATGTACTAAGATACTCAGCTTTCTTCCCTAGAGCAAATACTGAATAATCAACTTATAAAGAGAAAAGGTTTATTTTTGGCTCATAGTTATGAAGGTTCCATCCATGACCAGTTGACTTTACTGCATTTGAACTTGGGAGCAGACAGACCATCATGGCAGGGAGTCCATGGCAGAGCAAAACTGTTCACTTCACGGTCAGGAACCGAAATAGAGAAGAAAGTGTCATCCTACAATCCATTTCGAGGGTTCACCTTCAATGACCAGAAGGCCTCCCACTTGGCTCCACCTCTTCAAGGCAGCCAAGCTGGGGCTCCAGCCTCCACCACACAGGCCTTTGGGGGACACAGCAATACACACATGTAAAGGAGTTCTGGCTGTAACAGTTTTGCCCATGAAATGTTAAGTTTCCTCACACCATGCAAGCTGATAGCCTCTGATGAAATGTAGACACTTGGTTGTATAGTTTGTTGGGTGTTCTTTGAAGAAGAGATCTGAGTAATATCCGCACACACTTGGCCACATATAGCTTCATGTGGGCTGTGTAAAAATGCAAAGAGAATAGGAAATTGGATGATTTTTCTAGGGATTATAAACAACATGGGGCTAAAATTGTATTATCAGGATCTTTGTGAGAGGTCTAGATAGCTCCTAACATTATGGTGGAGACCAGGTGACAGTTTCCTTCACGGTGTGGGCAGGTAAGGAACAGAGATAAGGGGGAAAACATACATCATTATTTATGTAACAATGTTACCTTTTGTTCTACCATCTTGATGTGCTTTACAATTCTGCTTTTGCCACCATCTGTAAACCGTGATTCTCAACTGGGGGGCAATTCTGCTTTTCTTCCCATTTGGCAAAAATCTAAAAACATAACTGGTTGTCATAATGGAGGGAAGGTGGCTGTGACTAACACCCAGAGAGCAGAAGGCAAGAGAATTGCTTAAACACACATCCCCCGAAAGAAATATCTTAAGGTCAGTGGTGTAAGTTTGAGGAAACCTTGCCCAGAAAGCTTTTCATCCATCTCGATCATCATCAATTTACCTTGAAAATTTGAAATTAGAGTTGCCAGATAACATACAAGATGACCAGTTAAGTCTGATCCAAATATTTAGTATAAGTATAGCCACACTATCACATATTTACACTACAAAAGTGATTTTTCATTTATTTGAGCTTCTAATCAACTGTTGCCTTGAGAAAGGGTCTTGGCTACTTGCTAACTTGGTAACTATAGTTTACAAGTGTACATTCTGAGGAGGTTCTACAGATGGGGTAATCCCTATTTAGCTCTCTACTAGCTTCCCCAATAGGAGGAATGGTTTTTCTCTTCAGTCAGAGGCCAGAACATTCATCAGCCCATATTTTACAATTGGTGGTATGATTTAAGACAGATCAGAGGAGTCTAGTTTAAAGATTAGTCCCAAAGCATTTTCCTTCCTTCCCATGGCTGATTGACAGCCACTGCCTTGGGCTAAGCCATACAAGTTTCTGTTTCCTGCCTCACACCTTGATCTGCAACTTAGGAGGACCTCAGCCAAGGACTACCTTGATTCGAGGGGTAGAAAGCTGGTATAGTTTGTATCTTAGGTGTCCCTCAAAGTCATCTGTTAAAGTCTTGGTCCTCAGCTTGATAATCTTGGGAAATAGTGGACTCTAAAATGTGAGGCATAGTGGGTAATCATAAGGGAAATGGCATTGAAGGGGATAGCTGGATTCCAGAATGTTCTTCTTTCACTTCCCATCCATGAAATGAGAGGTTTTGCTCTGCCAGATGTTCCACACCATGACATACTGCCTTGCCACAAGAATAAAAGCAACAGGACCAACCAACCATCCATGGGCTGGGACCTCCAAACATGTGAGCTAAAATAAACCTTTTGTTTTTCTA